TACTAGTACTAAGTAGATGATAAATCAGTGAGGGAGAAATGAGGACTTGTGCTTACAGTAGAATGCCAGAGCCAGCTGGGCAGTGTGAAGGGAGGGCTGGAGAGGGAACACCATCATTTTGCCAACCATCATGGTAAATATTGGATTGGGTGAGGGGATCATCAATGAATGCCAAATTTGGGGGCAAATTTGACGAGGAACAGAATATTTGCACTGTCTTAGAGAGTCTCTCTCAGAGACTACTTATTAGTTGCAAAGGTAATAATTCAGTGGAGAAATTGGGCAACATTTTGAAGGTGATCAAAATTAATATCTCCAATGAGGGACAGATGAGACACAAATGGACATCACGTACCTCCAGACGTGATACCCAGAGGACACAACATTACCGATTCAACAGTCCAGCTGGGAGTGATTTTACAAACTCAGCCATGAAAAGAAGCATACAAACACAGCACAAGAAACTTTCTGTTAACAAAAAAGGGAGAAAGGGGACTGTCTACTTCAAAAATGTCTATGTTACAAAAGACTGTGGGGAATGTTCCAGATTAAAAGAAGTTGAGGAGACATGACAAGTAAATATGGTACTTGACCCTAGACTGTCTGCTGTACTTGAGGGGAAAAAAATGCTATAGAGGACGTTACTAGGCCAACTGACAAAATTGAAATATAGACAGTAGATCAGATAAAAGTATTATGTCAGTGTAATATATGAAGTTGATAACTGTACCAATGTTGTAGAAGAGAATATCCCTTTTCTTAGGAAATACACACTTGAGTATTCAGGGGTAAAGGGACATGATATATGTAAATTAGTTTAAATAGTTCAGAGAAGAATTATGCGTTTGTGTGTGTATACACACCTGCCCAGACACCCACAGAGCATGTAAACACAAATGGTAAAGAGAATGGGTAAAATGTTAACAAAAGGTGATCTTGATAAAAGGTATACAGGAATTCTTTTTACTATTTTTTTTTTTGCAACTTTAAAAAGTTTGATAGCATTTCCAAATAAAAAGTTTTAAATTGCAATGGAATTTACAAAATAGATAACCCTCAAGTTTGTCTTTATCTTCTCGTGTGTCTGGAGATACTATGTCTGCTCCTTCTTACAAAGAGAGTTCTTTACTTGTTCAATATTTAATGTTAAGACAACTGCTATCAAACATTATATGGGGGGAGTTCCCTGGGGGTCTTGTGGTTAGGCTTCGGAACTCTCTCACTGCTCTGGCCCGGGTTCAGTCCCTGGTCTGGGAACTGAGATCCTCAAGCCTCGTGGCGCAGCCAAAAAAAAAAAGATTATATGGGTTTCTAGCTGGATCTTTTGAGTTCAGATAAAGGAAGATTTGATTAAAGAGTTTAATTTACTTTGTATGTGTGGTTTTTGGGTTTTGTTTTGTTTTGTGTTTTGGTTAGATCAGAGCTCTGATAGCCTCGTGATTCTCCGACCTCCATGATGGATGATGCATCGTGTAAGGTTCATGATTCTCAGCATTTGGGTGTAGCTTTTTCACTTTTTCTCTCACTCAAGAAGGTACAGTGGAATTCAAGTGAATGAGGATGACAGTTTTATTGCAATATTCTTGAATCTGGTCTGATGTCTTTTAAGTAAATTGCAAACCTCAGTACTATAATTATTATTAATAACAAATTATTTTTGACACATATCTCAAAAATGAATATAAATTTTGGTTAAGAACTAATGCAGAAGCTTGTGAGATGAAGGGAGGGAATAATGGTCAGAGACAGACACAATAGGGAGCGTCACCATTTGCCCCTATGGTCCTCCCTGTGGGCCAGATCCTTTCTCATATGCATCTCACTGAACTCATTCGTTTGTCCAACACATATTTGTTGAGTGCCTACTGTGTACCATGCGTGAAGTATATCAGTGAACAAATGACAAAACCCTTGCCCTCATGAACTGAACGTTCTAGCTGGGAGAGAAAGACAGCAAATAATAAACATAAAATATAACCAAATGATGGAATATGTTAGAAAGTGATAAATGGTATAGAAAAAAAGTAGAGCAGGTTAGGAGGGGCTGGGAATGCCAGGGAGGGTGGCTAGCAGTTCTTAATGAGGTGGGCTGCGTAGGCCTCATTCGGAAGGTGATATCTGAGCAAGGACTTGAATGTGGTGAGGGAGTGAGCCATGTGGTTTTCTAGGGGAAGTGTGTTCCAGGAAGAATGAACTGCCCGTCAAAGGCCCTCAGCAGGAGGGAGCATGCCTGGTGTATCTGAGTGACAGTAAAGAGTGTGGTGTGGCCAGAGTGGCATAAGTGAGACAGAGACTAATAGAAGAGGAATCCTTCCCTTTCATCACTATCACATTTTCCTAGATATTCTTTCCTTGGACTAACTCTCCCTTGGATTATTGTACTGAACAATTTTGGACAACCACACCCGCCCCGTCCCTGGCACTTTTAGGACCCTCCCTTCTGTCATTATGGGCTCTTGACTGACCATCCCCCATCATGCCCCCACCCCCAGCCCTGCACATAGCCTAGGCCTCAGCAAGCCCTATCCCACAGGGGACGAGAGTCCTGTGCCCTTGCCAGTCTGTGGGATCCGTCCTATTGTACAGCAGCGGCGCATCTGGCACCTGTACCGAGTCATCTCTGAAAATATCAGCGAATGGAAGTGCATGGCTTTTGCCAAGGTGCTGACACCCTCCTTGGACCCCCTGCCTGGGAGTGGAGAGTCTGCATGGGTCGGGGTGGGGAAGGGTCTCCAGCTGCCAATGTGCCTTTCTCCCTACAGTTCAATCTGGCTATGGCCCAGGAGAAGACAGATGGCTGGCTCACAGAGGCGGCCCAGATGAGTGCAACCCCGGGGCTCCACAGCCCAGTTCTGCAGCGCTGCATGCACGTGCTGGAGGAGTTCCGCAGCCTCCTGCCATTGCTCACCAGGCTGGGCAGCCTCCAGCTGCAGAACGTCAACTTCCAAGCCCTCCTGCGAGGTGGGTTTGGGTAGAGTCAGAAGGGAGGGGAAGGGAAGGATGTAGGGTTTGAACAATGGGACAACTAAGTTCCCTATTGCTCTTTTTGGAAACACCTTTCCTCCCCAGGTTGCCCTGGCCTTCCCTCACGGACCACAGCCTCCTTTCCCCCACAGGGACAAACATTCTTAACCTCTCACACTACCATGTGGGTCCTCTCTGCTGACTTGGGCTGGGCTGGGCTGGAGTCTTACCTCTGGACTCTGAATTGTGCTCTGGACCTTAGGTTCTGGGCCCTTGCCTCTGTGTCGTGCTGTCTGGGAGCTGGGCTGGGCTGGGCTGGACTCTGCCAAAGACCGAGAGTTGCTCTGACTTGTTGTCCCTCCCCCTCCAGGCTTAGGGTTAGGCGATCTCCACAACATAGAGCTCCTAACAGTGGGCCAGCTGCTCTCTTGTCCCCTGCTGGAGTTTACAGATCGAATCAACCAGGTGGGCTCACCCCCCTCTCTGCGCCCACAGAGGAAAGGTGGTCCAAGCCCAGGGCCTGTTTGCTAAGCTCTAATAGAGCCAGTTAAGGCTTAGCAGCCCCTTGAGACAAGGGGGACAGTGGGTATTGGCTTGTAGTGGGGTGGGGTTGAGATTGCTAGCCTGCCTGGAGGGTATGGGGATCTGATGGGTAGTTCCAGACGCTCTGTGACAGAAAGTATGTCCCTTCCCTCCCAGGGGAAGGAAGTGGGTGGCAGCCCTGAAGTTGTGGGCACACAGGATGGCAGATGTCCCCTGGCCCAAAAGAGCATGAGCTGACTGAGGCATTGTCTGCTCAGCTGGAGCCTTGCAAAAAAGTGGGTTTCAGGGCAGCAGCCTTAGGTCACAGTGTGATGCTGGTGGCCTGTCTTTGAAGCCTGATGGTCCCACTCTCCACCTCTGAGACCTCCACTCTCCTGGGCCCTGGCCCTTGAGTCCCAGCTCCAAGGCTATCCCCTGAGCCATTAGCCAGTCCTGGTTCCTGAGACCCAACTGTTCCAGATCTGGCGGTGTGAAAACATACGGACTCATGCCCAGGAGGCCCTACTGCAGCTGCAGCGGGCCTGGGAAGCACGACAGCTGCGACTGCTCAACTTCATCCTGCACGTGCCGTATGAGCCCCCAGCTTCAGAGCGCTCCAAGAGACAAGCGCCCCGCAGCCCCCAGTGGCAGGTGGTGGGCAAGGATAGTGGCACCTTCATCCTTTCAGGTGAGACCCAGCCCTCGTGGCCCAGCGAAAGCCCCTGCTGCTGGGGAACGTGTTCATCCCCCAAGCCCTGCCAGATCTGGCTTCTCTAGCCAGGGCCCCCTCCCCCCTGGACAGCCTGAGCCATCAGTCTGTTCTGAGACAATATCTTCCATGTAGCCCTCGTACAGTCTTAATCTTCTTGGGAGCCCCCCATCCACTCCCTCCCACCCAATGCCTGGCCTCTTCAGCAAAGGTCCTCCCCTTTTTGGGTGTGCTAAGAAATTCCTCGTGGTCACGTCTCTCCAACTTTCAATGCTCTGTCCTCTAGACTGCACCCACTCATTAATTCCTTTGTCATTCCCTCATCAAACTCACCTGCCTCTTATGAACCAAATGCAGGGGACTCTGAGATTTACAGACCGAAGTCCCGTCCCTTGCGGACTCCCGGTCCAGTGAGAGAGGGACAAGAGAACAGAGACAGGTGCATGACAGAGCACCTAACTGAGGGCAGTAGCATCTCAGAAAGAGGACCAACATCAAAGGACCGGGAGAGTTAGAGAAATCTTCCCTTCCCTTAGGCAAAGGCCTCATTCTGACTTCTGAAGGAGTAGGAGTTTGCCAAGTTTGCAAGGGGAGAAGGGCATGCCACTCAGAGGGAGCAGCATATGTACGGGCACTCAAGATGGTATAATTAGGGAAGTAAAGGAGAAATTCTCTTATCCAGCCTAACTGAAACCCAACTGGCAAATTCAAAAAGTTAGTTAAGCAGGGAAATCATAAAATATGCATACATGGCTTAAGATTTTTATTTTAGCTTAAATCATATAATGGACATTTATTTACTAACCTTTTAATCTAAAGACGAGGTTTTCTTTGATTTGCAGTCAAGAGATAGAAGCTCCTCACTGCCTTTCTTGCGTTAATACGTCATCTGCTATTTCCACTTTCAGTTTCTGTAAAGTGGAGAAGGGACGTGAGGACACTTGTAAAGCTATCTGAATCCAGAACTTTTCTAGATTTTTATTATAATTTCACAATCTTAAAAAATCGCCTTGCCCATATCTAATTTAATATCATGTTTTTATTGGCTTACTGAAGCCCTTCCAGAGTTTCCATAGAACCAGCAACTATTTTGCCACCCATATTTCAGTGGTTAACATGATACAAGATTAAATTCTGTAATTAAAATTATAACTCACACAAACGGAACTCACGTAAACAAGTTTGCAAACACACTCTGACTCTTGGTGAGCATACTAGGTGCGACTAGTAGAAGCAAAAAAGTTTGTGTCTTCTAGAGAGTAGTTTGAGATCTGTGAGTTTCAGTGTATTTTGGGTATCAGTCACCCCTGCCCTTGCCCCATCTGACTGCCAGCTCAGCTCAGCTCGAGCCCACTCTTCCTTAGATTACAGCAACCTGCAGGATTCTGTCCAGGAAAGTCTTCAGGTGTTGTTCAAGTTCCTGGCCACCCAGAAGTCAGGAGACTTAAACAAAATGGCTTTGGAGTGGGTGACTATCATGCATGGCCTGAGTGAGTGCAGGCCTCTAGCTGGGCTGACGGGTGGGTCCTGAGGTGAGATGGCCCAGAAAGATGGGGAGAGGGGTCGGGGGTGGGTGAGGACAGAGTGAGGACCTCCTTCAGGGCCACTTCTTGGGCTGAAGTGACCAGGTCTTTATTCACGCTGCAGGTTTTCTCTCCTTCGAGCAAGGTCCCTGGGTCCTGCTGAGCAGAGTTTTTTGGGAGTGGGGCATCCCAAGAGGGCAGGAGCAGGCTGGACCCCCTTGCAGAAGCTGGAACCCTAGTCTCCCTCCAGTGTTCCCCTGGCTGCTTCTCACAGGTGCCCTGCTGCAGGTGTGGGTGACTTTCCAGCAGAAGTGGATCTTTTTGAATAAAGTTCTGCATGAGATGAAGATCCAGTTTCCTAGTTCTGACCTGGTAGGGAAGGGGGTGTGTGGCAGGGTGGACAAGTGCTACTGGACAGTGGGGCTCAGGGCGGGAGGGGGATGCCGCCCTCACTCTTACCTTCTCTCTCACCACAGCGCTCCCGTTTCGAGGCCATGGACGAACAGTATCGGACCCTGATGAGGATCTCTGTAGCTGACCCCCTGGTTCTGTCACTTATAGTGCCCAGTGCCAAGCGGAGCCCTTCTTTCCAAGGCCAGCAGCTGCAACAGCTGTTGCAAGCGGGCTCCGTGGAGCTGGAGGGCATCATCGTGGCTCTGGAGAGCGTGCTCTATGCCGTATGTGCTCACTTCCCCCGCCTCTTCTTCCTCAGTGGCAGTGAGCTGGTGGCCCTGCTAGCTGCCCCGCTGGAATCCTGTGAGGCCCAGCTATGGGCACGACGCTGTTTTCCTCACGTGCATGCCGTGAGCTTCAAGTCCAGCCGAACTGATAGAAACACGGATGACCGGGAGTCAAGCCCAAGCCCACAGACTCAGTTGGAGGCACTTGCAGTGCTCGGTGCAGGTGGGGAGGAGGTGAAGCTGCCGGGGTCCCTTCCTCTGCATTCAGATCTCCCCAGGTGGCTGGCCTCCCTGGAGCAGGGTCTGCGTCTGGCCCTGGTGCACTTGCTGCAGGACTGTGTGGCTGCCCGTCTTGCTCTGGGCCCGTCCCTAGACAAGGCCTTCAGGCAGCTGCCCCAGCAGAGCCAGTCGCCCCCGCAGATGTATGTCCAGCACTGGCTGGACCTAGTCCAGGCCTTCCCGTGGCAGTGTGTCCTGGTGGCAGAGGAGGTGGTATGGCGGGCCAACATGGAGGAGGCTCTGCTTGAAGGGAAGGCCCTGGCCGCGGTCCCCATGCACGTGCGCAAGCTTGACGTACTGGTGAATTTTTTGCGGGCCCGGAGGGCCTCTCAGGGTGAGCAGCCCCTGCCCTCTGTCCGCCAGACCAGCCTGCTCAGTGCCCTGTTGGTCATGACAGTGGCTCACCGGGATATAGCACAGCTGCTGCAGGAGCGCCAGGTCAGTGATCTGACGGACTTCCACTGGGCCCGCCAACTCAAGTACCGCCTGGCTTCACCCCACACCACTCCCCAAAGCCCCCTGCAGAGTCCCAAGTCTCTCGCACCTACTGAGACTTCTCTGTCACCAGCTGCATGCTGGATAGATGTGCTGGGTCGGTCTTTCCTGTACAATTACGAGTACCTGGGTCCCAGACTGGGGTCTCTACCCAGCCTGCTTCCTGAGCGGCCGGCCCTAGTGCTGTTATTGGCCCTGGAAGAGGTGGCCTGTGGGACCCTACTGGGCCCTGATGGTGTGGGCAAGGCAGCTATGGTGAAGACGCTAGCGCAGGCCCTGGGGCGCCAGCTGGTGGTGGTGCCCTGCTTGCCTCAGATAGAGGCCCAAAGCCTGAGCAATTACCTGAACGGTGCCCTGCAGGGTGGTGCCTGGCTCCTGTTAGAAGCAGCTCAGCACTTGCCCCTTGGCTTACTCTCTGCCCTGGGCCAGCGCTTGGCCAAACTGCGCCACCTCTATGCCCCACTGTACCAGGAAGCTTCCCGAAGTACCAGCACCGTCGACCCCACCCACCCCCAGCTCCTTGGCAGTGGCTTCTTTGAGAAACATCACGTGGACATGCGCCTTGGCTACGGCTGTCTCCTGACACTGCGTGCCCTGAGCCCTGCCGTGCCTGCCAACCTGCGCCAACTACTGAGGCCTGTGGCATTGACACTGCCTGACCTGCGGCAAGTGGCAGAGCTGACCCTGCTGGGTGCGGGGATACGGGACGCCTCCCGCATGGCTACCCGCCTATCCAAATTCTTCTCCCTTGAGTGTGAGCTGGTGTCTGGGCCCCTGCCCTGCCGCTTGCCCCTGCTCAAGAAGGTGCTGGAAGACATGATACAGGCTCTAAACGTGACCAAGGAGGATCCCGAGTCCGAGCAGCCCTGCAGCCTAGCCGCCACCGAGGAGGCCGCCCTACTGCGTGCCCTGCTGCGCTCCCCACTGTTCAGCATCCTGGATGGGGTCCACCTGCGCAACCTCCAAAAGCTGCTCTGTGGGCTCTTCCCTACCGCCAGCGAGGTGCTGGCAGAGCCTATAGCCCCCAGGCTGAGGAATTCACTGCTGGTGGAGGAGTTGCAGCAAGGAGGCCTGCATCCCAGCCCTGATATTTTGGGGTCCCTGGAGCAGCTGAGTCAGGCCCTGGGCCAGGCCTCAGGTGTCTTGCTCCTGGGCCCCGCAGGCAGTGGCAAGACCACATGTTGGCGCAGCTTATTTAAGATCCAGAATTGGTTGGCAGCCATGCAGGACCCCTCGACCCAGAGCTGCTGCCAGCCTGTGGAAATTACTCACCTGTATCCCAGTGTCCTCAGCCCCCAGGAGTTCCTGGGATGGCTGGAGGGCCCCTGCTGGCACCATGGTGTCTTCCCCAGGCTGCTTCGTGAAGCCAGTCGGTGTAAGACTGTGGGCCCAAGGGGGCAGGTGCAGGAATCAGTGGGGATTCATCACTGGATAATATGTGATGGGGCTTCCGGTGGTGCTTGGCTGGACTCCATCACTTGCCTCCTGGGTGACCCCCCGCAGCTTAGCCTCCCCAATGGTCAGCAAATAGCACGACCCCCAGGTACTTTTCTTTTGATGGAGGTGGGAGATGCAACAGACATGTCTCCCACAGTGGTGGGCCGTTGTGCCCTAGTCTGGTGCCGTGGGGAGCAGACTTGGCAGGGTATGCTGAGCGTCCTGATGGCAGCCCTGCCCCAGGAGTACCACCTGCAGCTCCAGACTGTCACTGAACTCAACCACCTGGCAGAAGTGCTGGTGCCTGCAACATTCCGATTCCTCACCTGCCAGGGTGCCAGCTCCCTGCTGCAGGTACATGGGCAGCAGGCCGTTTGCCCAGGTGTGGCTGAAGTCACCAGCTTGGCCCGCATCTTGCGTTGTCTGCTTGACCCACACCTGCGCATAGATGAGAAGGAGAAGGCCTATATCCCAGGTGAAGGGAAGGGCTGATTTGAGAGCTATGTGGACTTGAGGATAGCTGGGATATAGCTCGAGCCTGTGGCCCAGGTTCTTAGGTGGACTTGGGCCTGGGGACTGAAAGTGAAAAGTAATAGCCAACCCCTACTCTCTTCCCCCAACTCCCTCCCCTTTTTCCTCCTGGGGCTCCGATTCTGGCCATGGTGACCTTTGCAGAGGACCTCAGCTATAGTGACCCTGTGGCCCGAAGCTTCAAGTCCTCGAAAAGCAGCTCTCCGCACCAGTACCAGGTTGACAGTGGCGCTGTGCCTAGTAAGCGCAGGGAGCACTTGCTGGCTGTCAGCAGCTTTCTTTTTGCTTTGATCTGGGGCTTTGGAGCCCACCTTCCCTCCAGGTATCTACAGGGATGGGGGATGGGGGATGCAGAGGGCTGAGATGGAGTGAGTGGCCCATGGGAGTCAAAACCCAGGTGGCACTGTTGGGGGAGGGTGGAGTGTGTGAGTGTATCACAAATGGAACTGTTGTAACTGACACTTTTGCCTGTATGTCCATCTGAGCAGGCTCTGGCCCCTCTTTGATACCTTCCTGAGGGGTTCTATTAGCTGCCTCTCCAACTACCCTGAGCTACCGGCCTCAGCCTTGGTGTTTGATCTACATGTATGCCCTGAAGATGGGACGCTGGCCCCCTTCACTGGCCAATACCTGGGCAGCCGCATCAAGGGAACTCAGGGCACCTTCAACCCTTCTCCTCAGGTGTGAGGACAGTGGGGCAGTAGCTGGGGCTGGGGCTCAAAGAGATATCCTGGGGCGGTCCATGTCCTAGGCCTACCTGCTCCCGTTCCTTGAAATGTTTTCACAGTCTCCAGAATGCATGCAGTGTTCTGCAAATACAGCTTTAATTCAAGATTCCTAGACCTTTACTTTCGGCTAGATTACTGTGCTAACCTGGAGCTGCCACAGTAAGCCCTGCTCCTGTCCTGTAGACCGAACGGCTCTTGTACGTGGTGGACCTGCTTCTGTCAGAGGGACACCCGGTGCTGCTGGCTGGAGAGGCAGCCACGGGGAAGTCAGCCTTTGTGGAGGTGCTAGTGGAGCCACAGCACCCTTACGTGTCCAGCCCCATCCACCCTGCCGTCAGTCCCACCCACCTTCGCCTCCTGCTGAGCCGGGGGGTCCAGGGCCAATCACAAGCCAGCCTGTGGCCTGGGCGGCACGTGGATTCCAAAGGCTTTCTCCTCTTCCTGCTGGAAGATCTGCACCTGGCTGCTTCTGGTGAGGAGCTGGGAGGAGGGAAGGTGTCATTGTCGTCTCTTGAGACTGGAAAAGCCCTAGCAATATTCGACTCTCAAACATATACCTACAGACCAAACTTCAGTGTTCCATTCTTAATATCTTCTCAGTCTACGTACGCTCCCTGAATAATCCTGTCCTTTGCATGGCCTCATCCACCATCTCTATGCTCTGACTGCTAAATCTCCATCTCCAAGACCCTCTTCTAAGCACCAGATCTGTTTATCTAACAGTCTGCTATGTATCTCTACCTGGTTGTCCCACTGACACCACAGATCCAACTCTGAACTCATCATTCTCCCCCAAAACCCTGCTCCCATGTGCCCTCTCAGTACCTGGTACCACCATCCATCCAGTCCCTGTAGCCAGAAATCTTGTTGACATCTTCCCCTCCCTCACCAATATCCAGTCACCATGTGTCTTAATTTTGCCTCCCAAGTATCTCTCAAACCTCTCCACCTATTTCCATTCCATCTTCCCTGGTTCAGGCAGTCATTACCGGGAGCTCTGGCAAATGCTCTTCAAGGTTTCTTGTGATGAGTCTTTCTTCTGTAGATTTTTATGCTCTGTCCTCTAACTGGATTCGACTTTGTAACGCAGGCATCCAATAAGTTAGGCTTCCTCTAGCCTCTGGGATCGCCATCCTCTCGGCCTTCTCTCCTGCGTTTATCTAGCTAAATCCTACTTATTCTTTACAAATAATCTCAGGCAGTATCTCCTCCAGGAAGTCTGGGCCTCGTCCTGTGCTCTGTACAAAATCTATGACAAATATGGTTTTATGACTGTACGTTTACTAGCCTGCCTCTTCCATCCCACGCTGAGCATGTTTCCACCAGTCTCGGTTTCCAAACCGTCCTACTCATTAACCTTCAGTTAAGGGATATGTAATTAGTCTTAGAGGTAGGATTTGGGGCAGAAGAGGGGGAAAAAAGTCACTCACTCCTAAGGAGAGTGCAAGGGAGAGAGAAGAACTTACCAAGTCCCAACACACCAGATGCATAAAATTCCTTAGAACCCCGTGTGTGCCAGGAGCAGACCCAGTGAGGCAGGGAGAGGAAGAGTGGGGTGACACTGTCATGCGGACTTACGCCTGTTCTCTCTGTTATTCTTCACGGCCCACAGACCCAGAGAAGAGCTGTCAGCCAGTGTTGGAGACTCTGCGCCAGGCCCTAGATGGCACCGTGTACGCCCACAGCACCTTGGAAGTGCAGACGCTGCAGCCTATAGTCAACTTCCTTGCCACTGCCACAGTGCCAGGCTTCTGCGAGCTCCCGCTTTGCCCACGCCTCTCTCGGCTCTTCACCGTGCTGGCCCTGGGCAGCGTGACCCTGGCCACGCTGCTGAGCAGGCACGTGCCCAGCATCCAGGCCTGGCTCGAAAGCTTCCCCTCTGTGGAGCGGGAGAGTGTTCTAGCAAGAGCCCTGGTCCAGGCGTCGGTGGAGGCCTGGGAGGCGGTGCGCAAGTGCTTTCTGCCCTCACCCCTCCGCCCACACTACCGCTTCTCCCTGCACTCTGTAAGCCAGCTGCTAGGCAGCCTGCAGCTGCTGCCCAGCAGGGTGGGCTCCCGGGCTTTTGTGGATTGTCCCAACCACCAGGAGCACCTGCGCCGGGTATCCGGCCTATGCGGCACCCGCCTGGCAGTCACGATGGCCACGTGCAACATAGTGCGTCTTTGGTTGCATGAGGCACAGAGAACCTTTTGTGACCAGTTGGGCAGCCCCGGGGAACGCTCCTTCTGTGCCAACCTGCTCCTAGACGTAGCTCAGAATGTTTTCTGCTGTGGGCCAGCGCCCCCGAGCCTGGGCAAGGGCTACGAGGAGGAGGAGGGGGAAGAGCAGGTGCCTGGAGTGGAGTCCGAAGGGGAGCTGGCCCAGTGGGGGAACCTGAGCAACAGCGGCAGTGAGACCGAGGAGGACGAGGACCCGTACGGCCTGCAGGTCTGCACAGGCTCCGTGTCCAATGATTCAGCGCCGTCCAGAGCACCAGTAAAGAGGGTGGCCACAGGGAGCCTAAGTCAGAAGATAAGCCAGGAGGAAGGCACAAGGACCTCCAGCTGCAAACTCCAGCTGAATAACAGAGCCAAGAACTGGTGGCAGAAGACAAGCCAGGTAGACATGATCTCCCCCCTGTTGCTCCCGGTGCTACTGCTCTGCCCCCAGGAAAATCCCTCAGACCTGGTCTTCAGTCAGGAACTGACACTGCGGTCCAGCTCGGAGAGCTCCAACCTGTACCTGGAACGGCAGTGGGTGAGCCTGGAGGAGCAGCTGGCCACGTCAGCTGCCCAGCTGAAGCTGAGCCCCCACCTGGCCCGGTGCCGCTCGATGGCCCAGCATGTGGCCCGCCTGGTCCGGGTGCTAGCCAGGCCCAGGCAGCATGGCCTGTTGCTCTCGGGGGCTCAGGGGACTGGGCGCCGTACTGCCGTCACTCTGGCTGCTAGCATTTGTCAGGCCCGCCTCTTCCATCTGCCACGTGGATCAGAGGAGGCCGTTCTCCAGTGTCTGCGGGATGCCAGCTGGCATGCTGGCGTGTTAGGCCAGCCAGTGGCCCTGCTGGTGCCCAAGGGTGTGGATCTCACTACCCTTCATCGCCTGCTGGCCCTGGCAACCTCAGGCAGGTTCCCTGACCAGTACACAGAGGCAGATCTGGACAACATTGAAGAACATCTCCCCAGGGACAACCTTAGTGTCAGGCAGAACGTCAAGAAGGAAATGCTGTTGCAGAGGTGAGGCCAAGAACCCCAAGCTAGGGGCTGCTCTGCCCTTGCCCCACCCTGGCCAAAGGCCCAAATCCCCCACACAACCTAAGGGCTGCTGTGAGGACACAGAGAGCAGGGCTGAGGCGTCAGGTGGGGCAAACAGGGATAAAGGGGAGGACGGTATCTGAGCTCCTGCCCCACAGGTTCTACCAGCAGGTGTGCAGCCACCTGCACATGTTCATCCTGATCGGAGATGACCAGGCCCACAAACAGCTGCCTTCCACCCTTTTCCTGAGGCTCCTTCAACTGGCCATCGCCAGCACCGACTGCTACGAACCCTGGGACCAAGATTCCCTGGTCAGTGTGGCCCAGCACCATCTGGAGGGGGCTCAGAGCCCACCCCTTGATGACGGTGAGCCCTTTTTACCTGTCCTTGCCACTCATCTTGACCAGGTTCTAAAGAGGATTATTACTTAGGTCAGTCTCTCTCTCCAGAACCTAGTTGAGCCCCCTTCACCTTTTCTGCCCTCCTTCCTGAGCCAGGAGAGGGTCTCTGTCATTTCTTCCCCTACGAACTCACAAGTCCAGGCTAAAGCCATGCCTGTTGCAGACTTCTTGAAGTGCCCAGACCTTCAGGCCTCAATTCCCAGTGTGGCCAAATCCATGGCTCTCATCCACCTTTCGGCTGCCAGCTACCACGGGCACCTGTGCCCGGAATTGCCTCTCGTCACCCCCAAGACCTTCCTGGACTTCCTGGACAACTTCGTGCTGCTGCAGCGACAGACGACCCTGCAGACTAAGAGCAAGGCCCAGCGGTGAGTGGCCCCATTCCCTCCCCGTACCTCCTTCTGCTCCCTCAGGGCCACTCACTGGCACGCTGTGTCTTCAGGATCCAGGATGCCCTGGGAAATCTGAGGATGCTGACTGAGCAGCACGGTGCCCGCGCCAACCTGGTCGTCAGCTTGGAGCAGCAGCTGAAAGACTCCCGCAAGGTAAAGGGGAGAGGATTTTGAGGCATGCGCAGCAGGGTCAAAGTGGGAGCCCAAACGGGGACTTCGGAGGAACCATACAGACTGAACCTTAGTTCTTGTCTCCTGAGAGTCCCCCTTTCCCCAGGGGATCTCTCTAGTTCCTGCCACCTCCTCCTTTAGAGCTCAGGCTCAAAGTTCCCCATGGCGCAGCTGAGATCGGGCTGGTTCCTCTAAACACGTGAAATCCAAGTGTCCGCTTCTTGTTGTCCCTAGTACCTTGACTGTGTGAATTTCAGTATGCTCCCCAAGCTCTCCAGAGATCCCCATTGGGGATGGGGCAGGATCACATCCTCATGGTCCCCTCTCATTGTAATCCTCTTCTCCTGGATTCTCTATCACTGCTAGTTGGCACACCTCCTGTAGCTGTCCTCTCTTCCCATGCTGCTTTGTCCCTGCACGGCTTCCTTCCACAAAAGCACCAAATACACAAATATATACACTGTATATATTAAAATATATACTGTTATGTACAGCGGATGGGAGATGGCTGTGGGGGCCATTTACATTCTAGAACAGAGCCAGAAAGAGATTAAATGGCATACTAGACCTCAGTGTCCTGAATTTTTCTCTGTCACCTTCCTCTACAGGGCGTTTGCTAGTGACGAACTTTTCTATCCTCCTCCCATCTCCACAATACTGTTCCACAATGCTATTCAGCCACCCCACTTTCCCTTTAGAGCTCCCCAAATACAGTGCTCATGTAATAAGAGATTTTTCTTTCTGGTCCAAACCCTAAATCCTGTTGCTTTCTTATACAGAGCAATTTTCTTCTTTGAATAAACAAACCGCTCATATCTGGCTAAAACTGGTAGCAATGGGGTCATCACACCTTCTGTAGTCAAACACTCTTAGTTAATAGTGTTTTCCTAAAGTAAAGAGACTTTTTCTTTTGTTTTTAATAAGAGGAATTCTGAAATTGCATTTTCTTTTTCCTTCCTGCTACACAAGATTTTTTTTTTTTTTTGCGGTACACGGGCCTCTCACTGTTGTGGCCTCTCCCTTTGCGGAGCACAGGCTCCGGACGCACAGGCCCAGCAGCCATGGTTCACGGGCCCAGCCGCTCCACGGCATGTGGGATCTTCCCGGACCAGGGCACGAACCCGTGTCCCCTGCATTGGCAGGCAGACTCTCAACCACTGCGCCACCAGGGAAGCCCTACGCAAGACTTTTTGATGAAGTTTCAGGGATAACTACAGTGAAGTAAACTAGTGATCAGCTTATGAGCAGATAATCTGAGTTACTTTCTACTGGACTTTCAGGGCTTCCAGCTCCCAATGCCTAACCTGCCTCTTCTGATGGGTGCCCTCAGGGCTGTCATCCAGTGTTGCGCAACTCCAGGGGCATGGCTTACATTGTGTCCAAGTACATGTATCTACTCCACATATGTCCTGTGCAGTCCTCATAGTACTGGTGCCCGCCTACCATCAGCCACAGAGGATCACTAGCTTAGATTAAACATGAAGACTCAGTTGAGATGCAAAAAAATTGAGAAGTTCATAGATGGACAGGAGTCCTCTTTCCCATGTTTTCCAAATTCCAGTTTCGTGTCTTGGGCCTTACGTTTTCCCAAAATGGATAATACCAGGAATTGTTGATATGGCTTAGGGGTGTTATTATTCTTTGACCCCTGGGTCAGTTGCATCAGAGCGCAACATAAGAACCCCCAAATCTGGATATGAGATTTTCATAGTCTCAGGGGCATTCACTCAACAGCCATAATGGTGTGTACTTCTTTCAACATTGTCTACCTCAGGAAATGGCACCACCATCCACTTAGTCATTTAAGCTAAATCCCAGGAGTCATTCTGGGCCCCTCCATCTCTTTTCCCTCTCATATTCAGTTGGTTCATTTATTTATTACTGTACTCAAAAAACTTAATTGAACTCCATACTTTTTGTCCGAGCACTCATTAATATTTTTGTCCGTGTCTACATCTATGCTTACATCTAGATAGGTAGACAGAATTTTCGCCTCAACTTTTCTAAGGAGGCCATCCTTTCTTGCGTTTTACAGATGAGAAAACTCAGATCCAGAGAGGTTAGGATGAGAATTAAATGAGATCTTACATGTAAAGCACTTCAAAGTGCCGGCACATAGCAAGAGCCCGATAAATGTTATCATGTATTAGATTGCCTCCTAATAAGAAAGATAAGACACTGCCTTTGCCTAGGTGGTGCCTAGTTTACTGGAAGATATAGGCTCATGCAGGCGATTACAAAACAGCGTGTTATGACAGAGCAAGTCCAGGGTGCTCTGAAGTATCAAGAAAGACTTTCTAGAGAAAGCACAGTGCCACACAGTATGTAACACAGAGGCACGTGTAGAACATGGCAGGTGTTCAAAAGCATTCCTTAAATATGTAAACAAATGAATGAAGTATCAAGGTCGATACCTGAAGGTTAGGTAAGATTACGTATAAAAGGGTTTGGGAAGAGTGTCACAGGCTGAAGTAACAGCAGGTGCAAAGGCCCACAGGCAAGAGGATGTGTGTCACGTTGGAGGAGCTGAAAGTCAGGAATGGCTGGAGAGCAGAGTGCTGGGAGAGGAAAAGGAAATGAGGTTGGAAAGATGAGTAGAGGCCTCCTGGTCATGGAGGCATTGTAAACCAAATGAAAAAAGTGGCAAGTGTTAAGGGACCTGATGATATGATATTTGGCTTTGAGAAAACCAATTAGGCTGCAGCATGAAAAGCCAGTTAGAGGATGGGAGTAGGAGTTAGGAAGCCAGTGCAGAAGGTCAGGAGTGAGAGAGCATGGGCGCGAATGATGGCGTTGGGGATGGGAGTAGATACGAGAGACGTTTAGGAGGTGGAACCAAAAGGCCTTGAAGATGGGTTGGGTTTGGGGGACTAGAAGAGATGGAGTCAGGGTAACAATTAGGTTTCTTCCTTGGGAAACTTCCAGGTACTTTGGCACAGTTCTCTGAGAAAAGAACACATGAACAGATGAGTAAGATTGCAAGAGATCTGACGAGGCACAGCTAATACGTTCACTTCTGGACACGTGCAGTCTGAGGGGCCTGTGAGACACCAAAGAGGAGATTCCCACTAAGCAGATGGATACGGGGGTGTGAGTCTTGGGAAAGAATCTGGCTAGATATACAGATTTGGAAGTTGTTAAGGTATAAGTGGTAATCAGAGACATGAGATTAAGGAGGATGCCCAGAAGTGTAGGCTGAGAAGAGAAGGGGGCCCTGAAAACATTTCTGAGAAATATTTAAGGGATGGCACAGGAAGAGACTGAGAACGAGCAGCCACAGAAGTTGGAGAAAGCCAAAGAAGAACGTGGGCTCATGAAAGTCAAGGGAGGAGAATGTTCAAGAGGGAGGAGCTGCCTTCTGTGGCAAATGCCACTAATGGGTCAAGTAAGATGAAGAGTGTAGCCCAGTGGTTAAGTGTGTAGGCTTTGGATTCAGATTTCCTGGGCCTGTATGGTAGGTCAGGAGAAGCACCCACCCACTCGGGGCTGCATTACTAGATGTATAACTCACAGATAAGAAAATGACACTTTCAGAGCTCAGCATGTATCTGTGGCCTATTTGGAGTTCAACTTGGTCACCCCGACTATCGAGTGAGGAGTATGCCTGAGTCCAAGCCCATGGGGTCTTCCCTTGGGGTATTCCCACCTGGCCCGGGATCTAGAGCTACAGAGCCTGAAGTCTGTTCACAGA